AAAAATATAAATAAAAACAGTCGTGTATAGAGAAAGAGAAATCTCACTAATATAAAAAATAAGAATGCAAAATAATTTACGATTTTGTGTGGATTTTGATTAACTTACGTTTAACTCGTATTTCTAATATTTCTAAGATGATTACTTGACTAAAAAATACAGAATAAAATTTTTTACTTGAATTACTTTTTTTATTATAACCAAGAATCAATTGATCTAGTGGGATGAGATATTATATCCCTTAAGCAAGGTCGTTGGTTTGAATCCTGATGATTGTGAATGGAATAAACTGAGTTGAGAAAGTCGTCTTTATATTTGTGGTATCCGATCCAGATTAATAGATCAATAGATATATATAGGTGGTTATACAAAAAAAAAAAAATTCTTTTTTACTATACGTCCAAATCTAATTCCAAGTAGAGAATTCAGGTGTCCAAATCTAATTTTATTGGCCAAGAAAGAAAAACAAAACGAAATGAATGTGATTGTGAAAATGTTAACAGTACTATCGTTTGTGATTAAACTATATATTCAGAATGGTTTATAGACAAGTGTCTCAACGACCACATTAAACAACGAAAATCAGTGCAAGAATACGTAATGGCACTCTATTCTCCACCAAGTTTGATTGCTACACTATTTGTTTCTATAGTTGGTAAGTTATAGGTTCTGTTAAGACAAGGGGTGCGATCCCAGTGGTCAGGGTCCGAAACGGGAACACTTCGGAGCTTTAACGTAGTGCGGGGCAAGTGGCTCAAAAAGATTGGCCTACAGGTTGGTCCTTGTACTCCATAGCCTATATAAATTTCAAGTGTAGTAAGGGTAGCAGGTGACTCGGTGAAGGTACAATGAACATTGACATTCAGATAAACAATCACACTTTTGTCCTTAATTTCTACGTGGCGGCTTAACATTGATCTTGGAACTTGCGATTACACCTGTCTCAATGCAACTGGGTTTTTCCTTGTTTCGTCTCTTTTTTTGGTTTCTACCTTTTAGCTTTTCTATGGCATTTGAGGCAAACTTTTGTAACATAATTTTGTTCAATTCATGAATGTGGATTTCATAAGCAAATGTTTTGCCGTGTAACAACATATTTATCAAATTTTATTCTTCAAAGTTTAGTAAAATTTAGATTTGATTGAAATTTTTTGTTGAAAGAATGCTCCTGTAAGAAATCTCATAGAAGAAAATAAAAATATATTTTCAAGGTAGAGAACTTGTTCGTTGAGATAAAAAATTAATTTTTTTTGTTGAGTTTGAGTGTCTCATTGAATTTGAGATTCTGTCTCGAATTCCATGTACTTTTAGAATTCGTGTTAAGGTAGAAATCATCAAAGTTTAACTCGAAATCAATGTGACGTAAATTAACTAAGAGATAAATGAAAAAAAGTAAGAAACCTAATTTGATTATAAGTGTGAAACTTTCTTTCTTTTATTGATAAGATTTCTTCTTTATATATATATTGCAATTAAGTATCTAATTTTATAAATATATATTATGTGTTAGGGTTAAAAGTTAAACTTTTTGAACTCAATATTTGTTTAATCTAATAATGTTATGAGCTCCATAAATCTAGCATAGAAGTATTGATTTCTTTTAAAATTAAATAATAATAAAAAATTATTTGTTAGTATTCTTTTAAAAATAAAATTACTGAAAAATAAATTTATATCATAATTAAATTCGTAATTTTTTTTAGTAATTTGATACGTTTGTTGGACAAAAAGAGTTATCACAAAGTTAAGGATAGAATGAAAATATATATATATAACCTTGTATTTTTTATAAGGTGTAAATTCATAATTAGGCGTGATTTAAATGGAAATTATTTATTTATTTTTAAAAATTTGCATACAAAATAAGCTTGTATTGTTTTACAAGGTGTGGCATGCACAGTGCCCCAACAGTTGGGGCAAAGCAAAGGTTCCCTTCTTCCGATGTTGTTCGTGTAATGAACACAATGCTTTGTGTGGGTGTGGTTAACACTAGACAAATACATCGTCAGAATCAAATATGGGTGCCGTCCCACTTCAGCCATGTTCCGGCATACAGACACAAAACAAACCGTCAATGTAACATCAAGGTTAACCATACATATGACCTTCCATACATAAACATCGTCCTCTGTCACATTTACTTATCTATTAAGCATCCAAATTTTAGCAACTTGCTAACCCAGTGGTGGCTTTTTCTGTAGAACACATTGATTTCAATTGTTTATGCTTTCAACTTGAAGGTTGTTTTTAATAGACGTATTAAATAGGTTGTTTTTAATAGACGTGTTAAATTAAACTCTCCGTCATATATGTATATATTAGGATCCTCTTACACTCAATATAAAACTTTTAGTTTTACACCTTTTAAGATCGTTAGATTAAGAGAAATCAAAAGTTGATATTAACTCCTTGTTTTTTCCCCAGTGAATATCTTATTTTCTCATTTCCTACTGTTAATCTCATCATTTGATTTCTCCTCGTCTAACGGTCCTAAAAAGGTGTAAAACATTTTAGTTTTACGCTATGTAATTGGCTCCTAGTATGTGTATGTGTATGTGTATGTGTATGTGTATGTGTATGTGTATGTGTATGTGTATGTGTATGTGTATGTGTATGTGTATGTGTATGTGTATGTGTATGTGTATGTGTATGTGTATGTGTATGTGTATGTGTATGTGTATGTGTATGTGTATGTGTATGTGTATGTGTATGTGTATGTGTATGTATGTGTATGTGTATGTGTATGTGTATGTGTATGTGTATGTGTATGTGTATGTGTATGTATTGTATGTGTATGTGTATGTGTATGTGTGTGTATGTGTATGTGTATGTGTATGTGTATGTGTATGTGTATGTGTATGTGTATGTGTATGTGTATGTGTATGTGTATGTGTATGTGTATGTGTATGTGTATGTGTATGTGTATGTGTATGTGTATGTGTATGTGTATGTGTATGTGTATGTGTATGTGTATGTGTATGTGTATGTGTATGTGTATATGTATATGAGTTAGGATCGGCAAAATTTTCGAGATAATGTTCTCGAATTTTTTATTTAACGATATAACGTACTCCCAAGATTAATTGCTCAAATAGGGCGAATTGCACAGTGTTGGCCGTAGGTCGCCAAGCCTTCCGGGCGACCTACGGCGTGGCAGCTTCCCAGCATAGGTCGCCATGCACTCCGGGCGACCTTGTAGGTCGCCATGCACTCCTGGCGACCTTGTAGGTCGCCATGCACTCCTGGCGACCTTGTAGGTCGCCATGCACTCCTGGTGACCTTGTAGGTCGCCATGCACTCCTCCTGCTCCTCGCGTGATTCCTCTTTCCCTCGGATGCCCTCGCATAGCTCGTTCGAATGGCCTCGGTTAGATGCCCTCGGTCGGATGGCTTCGGATGCCCAACGTGTTGGAACGTGCATGACACATGCAATCTCTCTCATAGCTCGCCGGGAAGACATGGCGACCTAGTAGGTCGCCCGGATGGCATGGCGACCTACAACCAACACTGTAGATTTCACCCTATTTGAGCAATTAATCTGAAGAGTGCATTATCTCGTGAATTAATTTATTCGAGAACGTTATCTCGAGAGTTTAGCCGTTAGGATCCACTTAGACTTAGTGTAAAACTTTTAGTTTTACACCCTTTTAGGATTATTGGATTAGGAGAAACCAAATGCTAAGATTAACTCCTTGTTATCTTTTTCAGTGAATATTTTCTCATTTTCTACTATTAATCTCATGTTCTACCCTTTAGTTTTACATATTTTTAGGACCATTAGACGAGAGAAATTAAAGGTTGAGATTAACATTAGAAAATGAGAAGATATTCACTGGAAAAAACAATGAGTTAATCTCAGCCTTTGATTTCCTTCAATCCAATGGTCCTAAAAAGGTATAAAACTAAAAATATTTTACACATTACATACATACATGCATAATCCACTTACACCCAATGTACGTAAAAAAAATATATTTATTTATTGTTTATAAATTTTAATTAATCTACGCCATTTATTTATTTAAATCTAATGGCTATAAAATTTGTGTAAAACTTATTAGTTTTACATAGTGTAAGTGGATCATATCTCTCTCTCTCTCTCTCTCTATATATATATATATATATATATATATATATATATATATATATATTAAATCTAAGTCATTTATTTATTTAAATCTAATGACTATAAAATTAGTGTGTAACTAGATCATATCTCTAAATAGGTTAAAATTCGCTTATTGTAAAACTTTTTTTAATTTTACAGATGACTGGAAATAAAAAGCTAAGATTAATTCATATTTTTTTCTAGTGAATATCTTATTACTTCCTATTGTGAATCTCACTCATCTATTTTCACTCATCTAACACTCAACTTACGGTCCTAAATTTATGTAAATCTAAAATGTTTTACACTATATAATTGGATATATATATATATATACAAGCCTAAATTGTGAGTTATAAAACTACTAAATTAATGACATACGCACATAACATTCAAGACAAACACATGTCCACTCTGCAATTTTTTTTCTTTCTATATTTATTTATTTTATTAATCGTATCTATACTCTAAAATTTATTTGTATTCACTTTAAATATAAAACTTTTTATATTATAAGTATTAGAGATTCAAATTACGGTCACTTTTTCGATCATGACGTGTTTATTACTATTGCGGTCATATCATACGTTATTACGATTATAGCGGATGCTATTACGATTATAATAGGTATATCATAAAATAGTGCTATATTATTTCACGATCGCAGTCACGGAACGATATTTAAAACCATGTAAATATAGTGTGTCGATCCTTTTAAAAAAATTCTACATCCACCAGAGCTATGGTGACTCTTGGTGAACCCCATTTTCATCCGAACACTTGTCCGAATTTGATAGCCACATATCTGCTGTACCGTACCCATCTTGGTTCTACAATTGCAATTGCAATATATATTTGTATATATATATGAACGCATGCAATGCAACTGCAAACAGCAAATGCAACCATTTGTGTATACTCGTCAACCCTCAAATCTTTCCTGTCCACCGTTCTCTTTGTTATTTTACTATATTTAGAATTCGTTTCTTTTGATAATTGGCGTTTGGGGTTGGTTTGATTTGCAGTAATTCTCTATCTTTTCTTCTCCTCCAATTCCTCTTTTCGAATTCTTTGGGATCGGAATGAGAGACTTGGGGGGCTCAATGGTAGAAGAGGTTGATGGCATTAGGAGATCCAAGTTCGGGAAAACTATACATTCGGATCCAAACATGTCCATGGTTTCTCCTGTGGGTGAAGATGATTTATGTCTTCGTCACAGCAGCGCATCGACTAACGCTTCTGGCCCTTCCTTTTCCGAGCCGAGCAGGTCGAGCGGAGAAGGCTCGCCGATGACGATGTCGCCGTGGAACCAAACCTCTCATTTCAACAAGTCTCTCTCCATGCCTTTGGACGACGAAAATGTTCCACCCAACAGTCTCATCGGCTCTCTTACACGCGAAGAGGGCCATATTTATTCCTTAGCAGCCTCGGATGATCTGCTTTACACCGGCTCCGATAGCAAGAACATTCGTGTGTGGAAGAATCTTAAAGAGTTTACTGGTTTCAAATCAAACAGTGGATTGGTTAAGGCCATTGTGATTTCGGGGCAAAAGATTTATACGGGTCATCAAGATGGCAAGATTCGGGTTTGGAAAGTCTCTGTTAAGAAACCAGGCATTCATAAACGAGCTGGAACTTTGCCAACCCTTAAAGAGATCCTCAAAAGCTCAATCAAACCAAGCAACTACATTGAAGTGAAGCGTAAGCGCTCTTTATGGATCAGACACTCGGATGCATTATCTTGTTTGAGCTTGAATGAAGAACAAGGTCTTCTTTACTCAGCTTCATGGGACAGAACGTTTAAAGTTTGGAGAACTTCGGATTATAAATGCCTTGAATCGGTTCATGCACACGACGACGCTGTTAACTCGGTCGTTTCGAGCTCCGGAGATATGGTTTTCACGGGTTCAGCCGATGGAACCGTTAAGGTGTGGAAAAGGGAAAGGGTAAAAAGAGGAACGAAGCACACGCTGAGCCAAACTCTTTTACAACAAGAATGTGCAGTTACAGCGTTGGCAATCAACAACCCTGCATCGGTACTGTACTGCGGCTCCAGTGACGGCCTGGTTAACTTTTGGGAACTAGAAAAGGGTCTAGCCCACGGCGGGGTACTCAAAGGTCACAAACTGGCGGTTCTTTGCCTCGAGGTGGCTGGGAATTTGGTGTTCGGCGGATCAGCTGATAAAACCATATGTGTTTGGCGTAGGGACAGCAACATCCACACATGCCTCACGGTGCTAACGGGGCACACGGGGCCGGTGAAGTGCTTGGCCGCCGAAAAGGACCAAGAAGTGAGGAAGGAGCAGCGGTGGAAACTGTACAGTGGGAGCCTCGACAAGTCCGTCAAAGTGTGGAGCGTTTCGGAGTATGCTCAGATAGGGTCGGTGCAGCAAAGCCAGCAGCAGCAGGTGGTGGGATATGAAAGGGAGTCTCCGCCTTCCGCTGAGAGCTACTCGTCGGGCAGAAACTATGGGAGGTATTGAAAACAGATTCCAAATGAATTTCCGGTGATTCTGATATGAATTGCTACGTGTTCGTGATTTGTAATGAAATTTGTCTTCGACACGTGTGGAATGGAGGGAGGAAACCGGTTCGTTATAGTTTATGTTGTCGGGATGAAATCAGTTTGAGGGGTTTTCTCTGGGACCATATGTAATAAATAAAGGATAATTGTTGTGGACTTTGATGAAAACTGCATACAGATTTCTTTAATAAAATTCACTCTCTTTTCTTACACTTCTGTCTGTCAGATCTCCGGTGAGGATTATCTATATTAATCCAACAATACATAGCTGATTCAGAAATTTAATGATAAGGTCTAAAATTTTAATTTTTTTTGCTAAAAAATAATGGGATGCAATTTTTTTTCCATTTTTTAAAATATATTATACTAAATTTTATTTTATTTTTTAAATAATGGGATGCATTTGATCTTTAATGTCTTAAGTTGTTAATTTAATATATTTTGATCCCTTGTCGTTAATTACTATTAATCTAAGATAAATGTGACTTTGACAATTAAAAATAAAAAAGGTCATGTGTCGTCTTCAATTGCACAACCCTTAACAACTTATTGGCTTCTTGAATCAGTAGTGAAGCCACGTTCAGAATCGTCAGTTTCGTTGCTAACTGCAAAATCAACTCATCCAAACGAATTCGATCCTTAGACATATCAATCTCCTTTAACCTCTCATTCAAATCCTTTCCCACCGGTAGCGTCCTCATTGCCGATGAAATCGTAGCTCCTTTATGAAGAAATCTCCTGAACAAACTGTTGTCGTTGCTATTACCTCTATGATCACCTAGATCAGGGGCCATGTCGGTCGTAGCTTTGCCGACATTCTTCGAGATTCAATTTTGAACTGTTGATGAGGAAATCTGACATGTTTATGCAGATACATTTTGAGTCTCCAATCGTCAAGCTTATTGCTTCATCTTGTTTGTTGGAGTTTCTTTATGGAATATCATATCAGAAAGAAAAGAAAACGTATGGTGTCACCGTGTTTCATAGGTTTCCTAATGAACAAAATGATTGTATTAAAAGGTCAGGTATTTAACAATGACATTCGAGTGGTAATAAATTGTTACATCTTCTTATTAATAATTTTAGGGTGGGAAAACCTCTCGGTGCATGATAGAGGGTCTGTTGGCCACCGGTGTTTTTCGTCTTTCTTTAGTCGATTTTCTTGGTTTTGATCGATTTTTTCTTCTGGTGGTGAGTGGATGTGTTCGGACGATGGGGCGTGCTCGAGTAGGATGAATTGGAGGTAGTTGTTTAAAGCCCCTAAAGATATTTCTCTCTATTTTTTTCGTCGCTAGTGGGGGATAGTGTGGTTAGGATTAAGTCGTCGACCGAGGTCTTTGAGGCGGGCGCGCAAGTCTGGAAGAATTCGTTGGTTGCTCAATTCTGGGTAAGCCTCATAATTTCACCTCTGTTCAAAGAATGATTCAATCGATTTGGGGTAGGTTTGGGGGAAGTTGTGGTAAATTCTATTAGTAGTGAATTATTTCTATTTAAATTTCCTAATTCTGAATGTGAGTGGGTTCTTACAAACAGACCTTAGCATATTCATAACAAGCCCATTATTTTGAGGAGATAGGAGCGAAATATAAAGTCCCTTGAGTTTAATATGGAAATGATTCTAATTTGGGTTCATTTGAATAGTATACCTTTAGAGTTATTTACTGGTTTGGGTATGAGCCATATAGCTAATGCCTTGGGTACTCCATTGTACATGGATGAGTTCACTACTTGAATGCATAGATTAGTGTTCGCTAAAGTTTACGTGGAGATGGCTTTTGATTTAAGTATGCCTAAGTTCATCAATGTGCAATTAAGTGATGGGTCTGTAACTTCAATTGAGGTTGTGGTTCCTTGATCTCCCCCTCCCCCCGGTTGTTTCTTTTGTGGTGTTTTTGGGCATAATGATAAGAGTTGTGGGACTAAAAATTCTAGCCAGCAAGTTTGGGTTCCAAAGAAACCTGCTGCTTCTAGTTCGGAGGTTGTTGTTGAGGTGAATCCTAATCTTAATGATAAGGTTGAGGTGGTTGGGTCTGTGGAGCAAACTGATCGTTGTGAGTATTTTTCTAAGTGTGAACCTAGTGTTATCGTTCAAGTTAGTACTGCTATTCCTATTGTTAGTGTAGAGCTTGTTGGAAACATTAATGATCCTATTGGGAGTGTTGTGGATAAGGTAACTCTTAGTGGAAAAGGGAAGCAAGTTGTTAACCAGTTAGTTTTATCTCCTGTCGAGCCTTGACAAGGTAGAGAGGTTGCCAAAAATGTTGTTTTAATGCAGGGTTTGAAGAACAATAAAAGGAATGCTCGTAATGGTAGGAAGATTGGTAGTCCCTCTTCTCTATCTTGTTCATGAGGTTTCTTTTTTGGAATACTACAGAGTTTAATAACCCTAAGAAGCAGCAAGGAGTTTTGAAGAGAATAAATGTGTCTTAACATTGATTTGGTGTGTTTATTGGAAACTAGAGTTCGAAAGAATAATTAGTCTGCTGTTTGGCAAAAGTTTTTCTCTGGCTGGAATGGTTTTCACAATTATGATTTTTTGGAGCTTGGTCAAATCTGGTTCTTGTGCAGAGGTGTTTTTGATGTGGTTGAAGTTTCAATTTTTGATCAATGTATCACATGCTTGGTACGTGTTGCTGAGGTTAATGTGTATATATCTGGCGTTTATGGTTGTAATCTTGGTTTGGATAAGGTGCATCTCTGACAACACCTAGATGATCTTAAAAATCGTATTGGGGATGTTCCCTGGCTGGCGAATGGTGATTTCAATATTGTTTCATCCCCCGATGAGAGTTAAAGGCCTGTTGAGAGGGTGCTCGCTCGTGACATTGATGAGTTTAATTTGTGTGTTATGTGTAACCCTCATACTGATGCGGGTAATTCGATCTGATCTGAAGTGTCACATTAGAGCCACCAGAGCAACCCACCGTAAAAATAGCGGAAAATTTAAAACTTTTATTAAAACATGTAAACTCATAAAATCATTTATAAATACAAAAGTAATCTTTACCAATATGCAGAAATAAAATAGATTTTCAGACTCGTATATAAAAACAAAATAAAACCTACATGCCCTCTAATCACATGTATTATACTCTACAAGCAAAGCAGGAAAAACTCCCTTATTGATTTCGATAGATGCACTTATACGATTCTTTTAACCTGAAAAGATGAGTAACAGAGAGAGCTTTGGCAAGCTCAGTAATACATAACTACCAGATGATGCTGAAGAATGTGCAAATAACAGATAAGCATATATTTTTTATCGGTTCAGACATAAACATATTTTTAGGTTAAGCTGAGGTCCCACTGATATCTCAAGTAGTAACAGACAATAAGCTTCCAGTTCAGAGGGAAATATTTCGAATGACTAGGTTCAGAAGATCAGGATAGGTTATCTAGTGTGTTCACGTAAAACCAGTGAAAAGATACGAATCTTTTTTTTAAATATATATTTTTTAAAAACATAACACTACCCCCATTCTTTCACAATCTGTTTGTGTAGGTTCCCCAGAACCATACACCCAACCCACACAACCTGTAAGACCCTGAGCATAAAGCCGAGGAACCTGCAGAAATACTTCCTCCAACAATACCCCCAAATAAAACATTTTTCCGTCAGTAAACGGAGATATCAAAAATCAAAACAGAATTCAGATCAGATATCAAAACAGAATCTAGACCAGAAATCAGAACAAAATTCAAATCGAAAATCAGATAAAACATTCATGTGATTAGGGAACACACTAGTGTTTACAGATATTATTCAGAGATATTGGATAATCTTATCGGACAGAGAAACACGGATCTTCAGTATGCCGATAGAATGTCGGAAGTTAGAATCACTATTGGAAGAGTTTATTAACTGATGGAATCATCAGTTATTCAGAATGTGATTTATCATGATCATATCTTATTCGAACATTTTTTCGGAAACTCTACGTAATCAGAAGGGTATTCAAAATCCTTTACATCTGAGTTACTTGTGTTTTCAGATATGACCAGAGTGATTTGAGCTGATAAGGGAGAAATGAAGGTTCAAGTCATTTACAGTCGATGTCGATCTATTGGATTATCGAAATAACTCAAGCTGAACAACTACCAGAACTAATGTATGTTGACCGAATCCATTCGTTGCCCTTCCAGGTATTCACTCTTTAATACCAACAATTCTTGTCCATAACTCATCTTCTGCGTCATCGCTGAATCGATCTTCCAATGGTCTTTATTTCATTTCCACGTTTCAACGACATCAAGAAATGCTGACATACTTTATTCGTGGTTCATTACCCATAAGGACAATACATTATGTAATTTCATTAGCACTCCCAGATTCATCCAAATCACTTATTTAATCCTCAGTCATTGAGCTTACTTAGTTTATTTAGTAGACAAGTCTATCCCGGTTACTTCAGAGTTTTCCAGAGTAATTTAGACGTTTCTGAATTTCGATACATATTGTACTCCCGTTCAGTTCTATTTGGTATTCGTGGTTGATTTATCTATCGAATATCCACTTCTTAGTATCTAATGTGCTCTAGAGTTAAGCTGAGCTGAGTATTTCCAAAATTATCATCGATCCGAACTTGAGAAGACGAACACGCATTCAAGTGATATCTATATCATTCAGGTACTGACATAGCATTAGGATTGATCGACTCACTTAAGTTGTGTTCCATAAATTTTAAAGGTAATACAACACCTATGCTTATTTGGATTCCTTAATTAATCCAAGACATTTACTTAGTCTAGGCCATAAGGGTATTTCAATCATTTCCTTTCGTCCGATTTTATTATTTAATTCAAACTTATCATCTATTCCAGTCCTTTCGAATAATTCTGACAAAATAGCACCCCCGATAAATTATTCTTCATGTATTTACTCATAACTCGGAGATTTTCAAATCAATTGTCTTCTCATATGTTACGAATGAATTATCGGGACTTTTCTGTGTAATAGTGTGAACTTAACGGTGAAATTAACAATTCATCGATTTAGGAATGACTTCTCGGGCACTTTCCCATTCAGGGTCATTTCGGGCTACTTTTACCTCTCAATGGCAAATTTCGTAATTTCTTAACCAAGTAATTTCGGTATTAAAACTCTTAACAATGATAATTATAATTTAAAGATCCTAGGGTTAATTACTTTCCCGGATAATATCTGAACTTGAAATAATTCCTTATCAAGCTTCTAGTATCTTGGGGTTAGAAA